ATCGAGTCATACGAAAACCTTCCTGAATCTGCTATATTTAAGCGGAAGACGGTAGTGTTAAAAAAGGAAGTATCACCGATGATAGCTTCATATGATCCCAATGAAAGTTTTACAGAAAACCCATCGGGTGACTTTTACTTCACCGAAGACGGGCCACGACCAAACCTCTTTCGTGACTCCAAGTCTCCTGAATTCTCGAACACGCGAACGGACTCTGAATTTGACTTTTCGTGTGAAGCCACTGACGTTCAGTTGATTGATTTGGAGACGTTTGAGGACTATCCCATCTTCGAGGAAGAGAAGGAGAACTTAAAGAAAGTGTATGATTACATGATGAGTCGGAAGAAGGAGCGAAAGAAGAACGCGGGGAAAGACATGACACAGTCCCACTTGACTCTTTCTGTTTTGAGTTTTGTCCTCTTTTTGGATTTTTTGTATTTGGACGTGAATATGTTACGACTCAAACTTTTCACGAATTATTACGAGTACTACGTCATCACTTTTTTGTTCTCGTTTCTCTTCATCCAAGCACTCCATTACGGGATTTCAAATATCATTTACTTCACCGGGATATTGTACGCGTTTGTCTATATCTACACATTAACGCGGAACATCGTCATTGTCCAGAACGACAGAAATAAACCGGACGTGAACGAGACGGGGTGGTTCTACTTCATTATTGGCCTCTTTACGTTGATTGTTGTGATAACCCTCTTCCATAAATATCTGATGCCATTTGTCCAAAAGTACATTCTTTCACGAATCACAGCGCTGAGGTATACCACCAAGAAAGTTGTGTCGAAGACGACACAACAGACGAAGTACGAGTTTGAGAACGGAAAGATCATTTTTATGATTAAACAGTTAGACCAGCACAATTTAAATAAAATGAGTGGATTTGGGACGTGGGTGGACAACTCGTTCCATGGAGAACACTTAGACGGCTATTTTGATTTGGGTATTCCAGTCGGTCCTTTCAAGTCGGTTGAGAGTAAAACGCCGAACATTTTCAAGTCCATTCGGATCATTTTTGCGTCGAATGCTGGCGGGAAATTATTCATCGAAAAGACGAAATTGGGGTATGGAGTTGCCAGTGTCGAGTGTTGTGTCTCTGGGGAGTTCTATATGAACTATCCTTTAGTCAATTACATACAAGAAAAGGTTGAGTGTTCATGCCCCAAGCGCATGTGTTTCTGTGTCGACCAAATCATTAAAAAGCACTTGTACTTCCACTTGGACGAAAATGCGCCCGTCACAGCAATTAATGTTTTTGTAGACCAAAATGAGAAGTGTTTGTACCTCCCGGGGTACTCGACTAAAGATCAAAAGAAGCGCAAAGAAGTTGTAGTGACAGTAAATAAGTCGAAGAGTGCATTGAGCGTAGATAGCCATTGGATATCTCTCGCAGAGTCGATTTCAGAAGGCAATATAGAGGCTCTGTTATTCATTCATGGGTTGGATCACACTCTCTATGACGCTTTAAGAAGAATGGGACAGATGCTTGCTTTAGGTAACTTTCCTCAACATATCGTCCCGTTTGTATTCAATTGGCCATCATCACAGAATGCGGCGTGTTATTACTGTGCTGCTAATAACGCGTGTGATAGAAACCAACATAGAGACTTTTATAACTTCTTGAAGTCCCTTGAGAACGCGGGAGTGAAGAGAATACATATCATGTGCCACTCTTTGGGGTCGAAATTCTTCATGCAGAGTTATCTGCTTGTCCAGACGCTGTTTGAAAAAGTCGAAAAGAAGAGAAACGAGTCGAATTCGGAAGTCAGTGAGAACGACGACGAGAAGAGTGTCGAGAGAGACACTCAACGAATGAAATTTGCGAATCTAATTCTGCTAAATTCAGACTACGAAGTAGACACCTTTGTCGATGACTATAATGAACTCAAAGAACGGTGCGAACACGTCACTATTTATGCAGATCAAAGAGACTCTGCATTGTCCGTGAGCAATTTCTTGACAAAGAAAAATCGACTGGGAGCAAATATCACGCCTTTGATGTCAAATGGCGTTGTTTTAGAAAACATTGATATCATCGACACGTCAGAGCTCGATAGAAACATCAACGAAGCGAGACATGGATTCTTCAACATCAACAAAGTGATGATCGACGACATTTTCGATATAGTGGTCAACTCAAAAAAGGCTGAAAACCGCGTCACACGTCTACTGAAAGTCAATGGAATATACAGATTTTCTCTCCTCCCAAGTTTCTCACAGATGCGGTTCTCGTCAGTCGAGAAGAAATAGAGTCTAATTCATTGTATTATGTATAATCTATGGTTTATTGTAATTACTATATTTAAACTATAAAAATAACTAGAATAATTAATTATTATCTATAATTATATTTTAATAATAAATAATAGTTTTTTTTTGCATATGGTTTATTCGGCATATTTTACAAGCCATTTCTTGGTGGTAGAATGATAGAACAATATTACTATAAATTGTACTTCTACATGTATCAACGGCATTTTTTTTCTTTTGATAGTATTAAATATAGTTTATAATTAATATATTGTATTTTAATTAATTTTATTCAATTTGATAACTATCTAATGCACTAGAAGCGAAAAAATGCCAATTAAATGTGTTAAAATCATAAATAACTAATAATTAACCATAAATAGTCCATAACTAGACAACGAGATAGATATATTGTTTGTATAGTATATTAATAAGAAATGAAACCAAAGACAATAGTAAGCAGAAACGAATACGAGATTCGCCCTTGCTTCGTTCCTATATAAAATGCCAGAATGGATGGAGTGATTTACTTTAGTGAAATGAGAGGAGTTCAAACTTTAAAATCAGAACATGTTCATCAAGAAGAGTAGTCTTGAGAATCTCAGCCTGTACAAATATAGCGGAGTCGACTTATCTTTGTGTGCTAACTATATTTTGTCCCCATACTTCTGGGAACCGTTACTGAAGTATGTTATTCCCCCTACTATTGCGCCGAACGTGATAACACTAATTGGCGGGATATTCATGTTTTTGGCACACTTTCTCTTTTTCTTTGACAGTCCAACAGGACAAGAGGACGTCTCGACGTTCACTGTGGTGATGTCAGGGCTCCTCATGTTTTTGTACCAAACGGCGGATAACTTGGACGGCAAACAAGCGCGAAGAACAAAGAATGGGTCGCCACTTGGAGAGTTGTTTGACCATGGCGTAGACACGTTCATGATGGGGATCTTTGCGCTGATCATCGTCACAATATTCAAATTCGAGACACGAATTCAACTCATTTTATTGATTCAACTCCTCGCCGTGTTTTATATGAGTCATTGGGAAGAGTACCACACAAACACTTTGATATTGGGATACGTCTTTAACCCAACGGAATTACAGTTACTCACTATTTTTGGGTTGGATATCTACGTGTTGTACCCACAAATCATTAATGTCAGTATCTTTAGTATCACCGTTAAAAGCTATGCGATGGTCTGTATCATACTCTTCTGTTTCATTGCTGTTGTATTCTACGTACAATCAACTGTGTCACATATTCATTCAACTAACCAATGCTCATTCATTAGTGCACTTTATAATGGAACACCTTATGCGATCTTCTACGTCTGTGCTTGTATCAATGTACTCCTCTTTCCTAAACACTTCTTGGTCGAACACTTCCACTTGATTGTATTGCTCTTAATCTTTTTGAACGCTTACGTCACACAACGACTCATCGTTCACAGAATATTGAAAGAGCCTGTCCAACAATACCACACTCTGTTATTCCTCTTCGTCGTGTTCACAATCAACACAATACTGTACGCACTCGGACTTCCTTCTGTGATATTCAACTTCTCGACATTCACGATGCTCCTGTTCGCAATCGCAATCGACTCAACTCTGATCATCGAGGTGATCATATCCTTCTCGACCTTCCTCGGTATTCACGTGTTCAGAATCAATGTGAAAGAGTAATTCATTTTCTAGTAAATTTCTTCTTCAATTCACCTCTCACGTGTGACTTGGAATGATTAAATTTATTTCATTATTATCTACCAAAAATAAACATAAAAGCTTTAACAATACAACCGAAATTATTAGAGGACGAAATAATTTCTTCCCATTTCAACTCTTTTAAAGGCTGAAATAGGGCTGAGTGGTCTGTCAATTATTTCTCCACGCGAAGTAGACCGCGAAACAATTTCTTCGAAGGTGACTGAGTTCTCCTCATCCTCGATTTTCTTCAAATCCCTGTATGACACTTCAACGGTTTGTCTTCCACTTGCGTCGATACAAATCTCTCTGAGGGAATCATTGACTTTCCCACCGACTCTTGCGATGTCGTCTTTTGCGTAGAGCACTTTCCCGTTCTTTGAGATCTCGCAGAACTTTTCCATCTTAATAGTGTAGATTGAACTTCTAGTCCCTCTGATGGTAAAGTCGTATCCGTACTTCTGTGTTAAATCAATCAACATATTAACACAAAGCGATGCTCTGGACTTGTCGAAGTGTCTCTTGAGTTGTTTTGATTGGTCGGTCGTTGCATCCTTCTTCAGCATCGACTGACACGTGCAAGAGACTTCTTCTGCGAAGTTGATGTCGACAAAGCCCTTTCTGACGTTTGTGACGACAAAGAAGTGCTTTGAGAGGTGAGCAAATTTGTCTGGCCGTTCTATTGTGATGGAGTATCCGTTCTCAATCAGAAGGTATATTAAAAGGGATTGTTGAATGGCTTCCCAACTTTTGCTCTCCTGCTTCAGTTCCTTTTGCGACAAAGTGTTCGTCTTCGAACGTGGCTTTTTCGCAAAGTCCTCCATCACAATCAATTTGTAGTTTCAGTCACAGTTTTTCAACAAAAATTTATTCGAATTGGGCCTTCTTATTTGCTCTCATTCCACACTCTCTCTCGGGATTGCAATTTTCTTCTCATCTTCTCAAAAATGTGAATAACTAACTATATATTTATAATTAATTTACCATCGAAACGACTTTCTAGGGTTAAATCAATTTAAACGTCAAAATAGTTTTTCTTGTTTCTCATATTTTGGTGGCCAAATTGGTCTTCCATAAAAAAAACTCAAAATACGCAAAGCTCTAACGCTAATTTATGGGGAGGTGCAAGAATTTAATAAATCAACCATTTCTTTTTTATAAAAACTTCAAACTTTATTTAAAGATTCTGTTCAAGTATTATTATTTACTATTATTTTACTATATTGTTAATTATCACATTTTTGAGTTTTTTGTTTTTTCTATTTTTTTACAAACCTCATTTTTTTTCGGTGCTGATTTTTGACGTTGATTTTTTAGTTAAAACTTCTTTATAGTTTTCTTCTAGTTTCAAGTCTTTGTTAAAACTCAATATTTATTTTCTAGTTGCTTCTATATGACCGTTTTTTTTAGTGCGCCGATTTTTTCCAACAAATCATGGGAAACTCCATCACGTTCCGACACTTTTATAAAAATAAAAACAATCAAAAAAAATGAATAACATTTTGAAACCAATTTTTTGTTATTAATAACATTTTTAATAACAAATACATTAAAACACATATTAAAGTTTACAAACGACACATGTGACGTTGTCCCTTCCATCTGCGGCGAGCGCGCAGTCTCTGATAGCCGCAGCGATCACATACGGCTGGCACAGTTTTCTTTTTCTGACTATTTCGCAGACAGTTTCGTTACTTAAGAAATCGAAGACTCCGTCGCAAGCCAAGACTAAGAATCTATCCAACGTGTTCTTCTGAATAAAAAAGACGTCAGGGAGTGGCGTAACTGTTGGTTGTATCTTGACATCCCCGAGTGATCTAGACACCATTAAGACGCCATTAGTTCTATCATTCTTAATGAACCCCCCATTGTCTTTCACTCTTTGATATTCTTCTGGTGCCGTTGCTCGATGGTCTTTAGTAATTTCAACCATCTCATTCTCACGTATTAAAAGCGCTCGACAGTCGCCGACATTACTTATAATGTATCTCTCGTCAGTCAAAAATGCAGTTAGACAAGTCGTCCCATCGCCAGAACACTTTATTATCTCTTCATTCACTTCCATATAACTTTGCTCTATAATTCGTTTCATACTCTTTTCAAAGGATGTATCACTCGTATCAATATCTATTATGGCTTCATACTTCTTCCCAAAGACTTCACTGTAGCGGGTTGAACAAATGAATGAGGCATCAGACCCACCATGACCATCACATAAGACTACTAAACTCTCCCCAACTCCTCGATAATTCTCTATTAAGGTCACATAATCCTCCATCCGTTCACGATTCCCTTTACACTCAGATACCCCAAACGATTCACTTCGACTCTTTAAACACTTCTTCTGAATTACAGTCGTCTCCCGATCGTCACGCTTATACGTACTGAAATTACTCTTCTTAATCGGCATCGTCACTAATTCACACCCTTTCTTAAAAGTCACATTCATCACCGCCTTCCTCATGCTCTGCTCGATCTTAAACCGTTTGCCGACGATAGTGAATCGCTTCAAATTCACAAAGGAAAACACGTTCTTTGGAATGTTGTTGATATCATTATAACTGCAGTTCACGTCTTCTAATGTCTTAATAGATGACAAGCAGTCGATACATATCAATTGGTTACAACTGACATCAAGTTCGACTAAAGACATCAAAGACAGTGTTGTTGGGAGTGCGATGATTCGATTCGAACTGACCAGAAGTGTTCGTAATTTAATCGAGAGTCTGTGTGGGATCTGATACAGTCGATTATGACTCAAATTGAGTAACCGCAAATTCCCAAGCACAGACAACTCACTGGGAGTGTAGCACAAGTAGTTGAATGAAAATTTGAGTTGCTGCAATTCAGTCAACTTACTGATAGCACTCGGTATCTCCGTGAGTTTGTTGTGTGACAGATCTAAGTGCTTCAACCCCTCTAATCGGAGTATCGGCCGTGGAAATTCAGTGAATTCATTACACCCCAAAAACAACGACTGGAGATTTGTGTATAACGTCGGGAGCTCTGAAATGAAATTTTGTGTCACATTAAGGACCTCCAAATTGGGGAAGACGTCCGGCAACTTCGTCAACATATTGTTCTTCAAATTTAACGAGCAAATTTCCGAGTTGAGTGATGGGATAGATGTCAATGCGTTGTTTTCTAACGACAACATTGTGCATTGTGGGATCGACTTAATACACTCGATACCCAAATTCTCCATCACTAAACATTTGATTGGAGGAAGTTCGTAGACTTGCTTGACAGCCCCCGCAAAGACTCTTAATCGAGTCAGTGACACAAACTCGTGAAGGGAAAGGATATCCAATTTCAAGTCACTCAATATTAAGTCTCTAATACTGGGGCTGTTAATTAAATCCAAAGATGTCAATGGGTTGTGATCAAAATCAAGTGAAATGAGACTCGTCATATTCGATAAGAAAGACGGAAGTGTAGTGATATGATTAAACGTGAACGACAGCATTTGAATACAACTCAGTTGTTGGACGTCTTGAGGTATCTCTCTTATAGAGTTTCCATTCAGACTTAATGTTTGTAAAGGGCACGCACAGACTTCGATTGGAAAATGGGTGAACTCGTTGTTATCGAGTTCGAGCTATACAATTAATATGTCACAATATAGTATATTCTATTATAATCAAATTATAATAATTAGTATAATACTATATAGTAAAAGTACTATTAGAATATAACAAACGGTTTGCAAATTGGAAAGACGGGAAAACTCCCGAGGAATACATTGAAGCTTATTTAATGAAAGACTTAAGAACACAAGATTGAAAGAATTGGTGAGTGGTGTGACGTCGGAGATCTGATTTTGTGTTAAATCGATATGAGTGAGAGATGTGAATGATTTGAACGCGCCAATTTCTTTGAGAAGATTTTGAGACGCGTCGACTTTTTTGAGTTTTGGGAATTGCCTGATGTTGTCTTCAGTGAAGTGAGTGATTTTGTTTGAAGCGATCGTGAGATTTTCTAAGAGAGGAAAAGTGAAATCTGGAATGACCTATTAATTAGTTACGTTGTATATCGTTAAATAGTAAATTCGATAGAAGATAACAAACTGTAATAGCATTACAAAACAAATTTAATGTAACTAGTGTTTCAGCCTTTTCAAGAACGTCTTGAGGAAATGCGTCGAGGTTGTTATGAGACTGGACGACGACAAATTTGTACTGATCTTTCACATCCATACGTGTTTTTGTTTCAAGTTCCTTCTTATTTGATTCTTTTTTTGTGTTTTAATTAGCGTTTTTCACACATGAAAATGTTTCATAGTTTTGTGTTCAGTGCTAAGTTCTTCGGAGTTCATTAGTATATTATTAGCTTAAAGACTAACATCATCTTTTCTATTTTATTACCCCTGAGGATCGATATATTAACTTTGTTTTTTTCGCGTTTTTTTTGGTCGGGTACTATTATTTTTACTATATTTTATAGTTGTTCTTATTATTTGTTTTTATTTTTTATCTTTATTTTTTGTCTTTGTTACACAAGACAGATTTGTGGATCATTGACCGGTTCTACCAAAAAATTATACATTTTTAATTGTTAAACTATATAATATGGTTAACGGGAGAAGACTAAAAACCTTAAAAAGAAAAAAATTCAATTAAAACAATTAAAAATGCGTTTGATGTATTGCATCGAACTTTTATATCAATAAAAAACAAAGACATTACGATTGATTTACCAAGCTCACGTATTTTTTTTCTTTGAGCTGTTTCAAGACTCTCCCACTTGCTTCTTTAAGTCTTTTCAAGTCTTCCGAGTCGGAATTGCCTCCAGCACCCCATTTCCTCAATGCCTTCCTTTGCATCTCATCGAAAGCACTCTCCATCACCTTCTTAAACTCTCTTTTCATCTCTTCTTTCTTTCTTTGGAATTCCTCGTCCTTTTGTCTAAGCACTTCTAAAGTCCTTTTTTCGTTGACTTTTCGTTCTTCAGCCAGTGCGTTTCTCAATTTTTCAGCCCTTTTCTGCAACTCTTGTTCCGCCTTTCTTACACTCTCCTTTATACTGTCGAGGTGCATCCTCTCATCTCGCCTCAACGTGTCAATCTCGACTTCGCCGTTTTGGAATTCTTTCTCCTTTGATTTTTGGATTTCTTCCTTCTCTTTTCTGTACCGTTCTTCAATCGAGTTTTTCCAGTCATCGTTGCTCAAAAAGGCGTTCAATTTCTCATCACTTTTCCAATCTATCTCAGTCTTATAATAATCAGAATTATCAGCATTTAATGACATTTTCTTTCGTGCCATTTTCATTCGTTCCAACAAACTTTTAGCACGTGCTTTGTTGATGTAGTGCTGTTTAACAGTGCGGTGGAAGCGTATCTTCGGAGCGTTGTTGACAAATCCACTTGCAAGTGGTCGGACCTTTTGATAAGGAAAGAACTTTTTCTGGTAGTCCGAGTACAACTTACTCATTTTTCCTTCGATAATGCCTTTCTGCGCGTCTGATATGCGCTTCTGGTTCGCATACCCAAGTAACTCGGCTTTTTTAGCTTCTTCAATGCCCGCAAGTTTACCACTCCTGTCCATTGCAATTGTTAATGCTTGGTCACCTTGTGGTTGGCCGTTTTGTTTGCTTAAAAAAGTGTTAACCCCTCCCACACCCGGAAGGGAGGGGTTAACACTTGGAGATGTCCCACTTGGTAATGACGACATGGCTGAACCACTTACGAAGAGTCCATTCTGCGTTGAACCACTTGTACCACCATTCTTTATTCCCGAAGTTGGTGAATTAGACATGACTTGAGTTGAACCACTCGGACTTAGTCCTCCTGTTACGTTCACGCCATTTAAACTCGGACTTTTAACATTTGAACTCACATTCAAACTAGCGACAGTTGGTGTTGTAACATTTGAAGAACTAACATTGGGACTTGTACTTCCATTCAATCCAGTGTTTGTGGTATTGTTCAACGAGTTGTTTGCATTATTGTTTGTGGTTGTTCCGTTTGTGGTTGTGGTATTATTAGCATTCGCACTCGAATTGGCACTCGCACTTACAGTCGCGTTGGTGTTGGCATTCACATTAGTGTTATTTGCTTGTTCTTTCTTCTCAAGAGCTCCTCCAAGTGTTTTCCAACCCTCTGCTATGTGTGGTTTTGAAAACAATTTCGACTTTTCTGCTGATGGTGTGTTCATTGGACCTCCTTTTTGCTTCAACACGTCGACTTTCTTCGTCGTGAGCTTCCCCACTCTCTCACCAAAATTGTCTCGTGTTTCCGATCCAAAATTCTTCCCGCTCCACTGTCCGTTAACGTCAGTCTTCACCCATTTATTGCTCCACTCATTCGCTTTTTTTCGGTACGTGTCACGCGCTTTGATCTGTTCTTTATCGCGTTTCGCCATGTCCTTTTCATAAACTCTGGCACGTGCCGTTGCGTCGTCGTACATGTCCTCCACTTTATTGTACCGATTGTACTTTGAGTCTGTTGTTTCTTTCAACTTCATTTTGTCGATCGATGTTGCCTTTCGCGTTAACGACGTCATCCATCCGTTCGCTGCACTCGCAACCTCCACAGGCTGCGAAAATGACACCCCGAACGTTAGAAAGAAAAATATAAAATACCTTAGCATCGTTTGATAGTATGATTTTTAAGCACATTCCAAGTTTTAGACTTGGAATGTGACTTCCTATATATGCAGTTATTCCGGTATTTCTATCACAAATCTCTCACTTTTGGGAATTGTTTTTTTTTATTTGTTATCTTCTATTCTATCATCAAACTAAACATTTTTATTTTTTATTGTATTGGCTAAAAAAACATATTAAAATAGTATAATAAGCTTTAAATAATAAAATAATGTTATATTATAATAATTATATTATAAAAACAGACTAAATTAGAAAAAGAATCTTTCATTTGAATTATTCGAATCATTGAAACATCATTCATTTGGAAATTAGAACTGTATAATACCCATCTGAACTTGAAAATGAATCATCGACATTCAAAGAAAGAGAACAAGAAGACCGAGATGAATATGAATACCGCGCCGACGATAGCCAGAGCATTTGGTTTGACATTAAACAAGAACAAGTCGTAGAAGAGTCCATATATTGAGGAAGTCAGATTCGACACATTAAAAAAAGCCGCTGATGTTGTTTTAATAACAAGAGCGATTGAGGAATAGATAACGACTTGAAGGAAAGGGTAGGTAGCAAAGACTGCGATTTGTGTCGGGGATAAATTGAAGTTGATTGGGAACACGAAGAATAAGAGTGCGAAAGGAAGTGAGAGGAAGGGACCATACATTCCAAGTAATATAATATAGTTCATACAACTAAAAGGGGACTCCATGTTAATTGTGAGCTCTTGTAAAGTGTTAGAGACCGAGTAAAGAATAGTTGAGACTAAACACAAAACATCGCCAACTAACTGCGTTGAGGACTTTTGAACATCGCCGATGGAGACTAAAATGAACCCAAGAACGGCAAAGCCAGCGGAGAAGAGTTGGGAAATGGAGAACGTTTTGTGTAAGATGAAATACGACAAAATGATGACAAAAGGAATGCCACAGACACTAATCAATTCAGAAGACACTACTGTTGTCTTCTGAATACCTATGATCATACATACTGTCGCAGTTATGTCAATGAGAGTAATCGAGAGCGCGATTTTCACTTTAACAGAGCGCAAAAAGTCAACGATAGCCTCAGTACTGTAGAATAAGGATAAAATAAAAAGAGGAATAGGTAATGCCCAATACACGGATATCGCTTGAAAGATCGCACTCCCCGTCATGGTCGTCTGACCTAAATAATTTGTCATTGCATATGTAGTTGCGTTGATTACACTCAAAATTTGGCCAATCAAAAATCCTTTGATCACTTTGGACTTCTTGGTGGGGGGCGTATCTTCAAGCATTGACTGATTTGTTCGTTTCTTGTTTGAATTGTTTTCTTGATTGTTCGGTTGAAAGAATCCATTTTAAGTATTATACAGTATAATATAACAAATTAATGAATTTGGTACATGTATTATGATTAATGTGATTATTCGTAATCTGTTCTTTTCATATTTGAAAACAAAAAATGGAGTTTTTAATGCTTTTTAAAAACATGAAATTTGTTAAATAGGAATTTTTATTTTTTGTGTCCAAAAAAATTATGTCCACGTTTTTTTTAATAAAAAATAGTAAATATTTTTATATTTTACTTATTTCAATAAGAAATATTCATATCTCGACTGAAAAATTAATTATTGTTTTTTACTCTACAATTTTGCCAAATTTAAAAACAATTCATCACATCTTAAATTCTGAATACAAATGTTTAGAACATTAAAGAAGAGATAACAATGATACATTTATTATCCATATTGCAATTTATTTTTATTCATTTTTTTCCTATTAAAAAGTATTATAAATTTATTTATTTTTTTATTCAAAAAATTGAAAAAAACAAAAAAGTCCATTTAAAACTATAGATTAATATTTACTATTAATTTTTATAGTATAAACTAATTAAAAATTTATTTAAATTGAACTTTTATTTGTTATAAAAAAATTATCTTCTGATTGTTTGTTTTATTTTGTATTAAGAGAGATATAAAATAGTATAATATTAGTAAAATTACTATTGTTCAATAAGAATAGTTGTTGAAATGGTGTGGATTTCTCGCTTCAATAAAAAAAAGTTTCCAGTGATTAGTTTTGTTCCAACAATATTTACTTTTTGACAAAAAACTAAACAATAATTATAAAACTATTAAAATAAAATCAATTATTTGAAAAGTTATTAAAGAATTGAATTCTCCACAACGAAACCCACATATCACATAATAGTAAAAAGAACTAAAGTACAAACCCACTCATATAACTAGTCAATGTATCTTTTTTCTCTAGAAAACTTGAATTAATTTTTTGATTAAAATTATATTAAATTAACTTAAAAAATCGGGGTATTACAACAAAAAGTTAAGTGGAAACAAGAAGAAAAAGTATTCTGGAATACCCTATAACTCGCGAAATCAAACATGTCAAACGGATCAACTACGCCAGAAAGTGATTGTGAGTACTCCACGCAGTTATTGAATATGATGAAATCACAGAGCCCTCTCCCACTCGGTGGGGAGAAACGTCGTACAGCTCCTCTCTCCGCAGACATCGGCGGAACCATGACTAAAATTGTGTTTTGGATCCCGGCTAACACAGACATTGAGTTGCCACAATTCGTCCAACCCGAGGAAAACGCGATGTCCGTCTATGAACTCTACCCAGACCCCGTCTTAAAAGTTAACGGTTTGTTCTCTCTATTTTAGACTTTATTTCCCTAAGATGTTATTTTATTTTCTGTCCATCTAAGTCAACTTTTTCTTGTTAATTAATTAAAAAAATCTATACACATTTGTATTAGATACTTTGGTATATTTTACTATTCAATTTACTATAACAATTATTGCTTTTTAACTTCAATATTTATAAGTTAATATTATTAATTATTATTAATTATTATTAATAATAAAATTAATAATTGCTTTTACCTATATCATTTTCCAATAAAATAAACTGATTAACAATAGTACATATTTTAATTAATTCATTTATGTTAATAACACTTGAACGTTAGAAGTATTTTTTTAAGTTAAATAACGTGCAGTGAACTCGCGCGGCCAAAGCGAGTTGTGTTTCATGAAATTTCCGACCGTCCAAATACCCGAATTTATCAAATATGCGAAGTCTTCTAAATTGAAAAGTATCTACGGAGCTGGGAACATGCAGTTAGTGAATGTGACTGGTGGTGGTGCGTACAAATTTGCCGAATTATTAAAAACTGAGATGGACTTAGAAGTGAAGCAACAAGATGAAATGCGTTGTTTAGTGTTAGGTGTGAACTTTCTCTTGTTGTGTTGTCAAGAGAACTTATGTTTCAAGTACCTTGACCATCAAAAAGTGTTTCAACCGAAGACATTAGACATCTTTCCGTATTTATTAGTCAACATAGGTTCTGGTGTATCTATATTACGTGTGAACGACTTAGAAAATTATGAACGAGTGAGTGGGTCTTTAATCGGTGGAGGGACGTTTTGGGGATTGTGTTGTTTACTCACAAACTTCAAATCGTTTGAGGAGATGTTGAAAGCTGCAGCGACGGGGAAACACGAGAACGTCGATTTGTATGTCAAAGATATCTACGGGAAGTGTTATGATAGTGTTGGGTTAGATGCTGATATGATGGCGTCTTCCTTTGGGAAAGTACAGAAGATGGTGAGTGGACAAGCCCGAGTCAAATACAATGAAGCTGATGTAGCTCAAGGATTAATGATGATGGTATGTGGGAGTGTTGCACACCTCGGGTATGAGTTATCCAAAGCACATCAAATTAAAAGGATTTATTTCACTGGTGGGTTTGTTTCTCGGAACACAGTGGTATGGGAAGGAATCACTGAGATGATCAAGAATTGGTCGCAAGGAAAAGTCGAAGCAGAATTTTTAGAATATGATGGGTACTTCGGGTCAATAGGAGCACTGTTGTTATCAAAATATAAGAAAGGGGTGTTCGAACAACCTATGGAATAATTACGTGTCATTTTTAGTATTTCAGTTACTATACATTTAATAATATAATTGTTATATATAATAGAATATCATTATAATATAATAATATAATAATATAATAATATAATAATATAATAATATAATAATAATAATAATATAATATTCTAAGTGTTATATATACCGGCATCTAATTATGATAATTGTACAATACCACAGAAGGAAAAAATGATTGCGATCACAAATATACCGATAAAAATAGCAAATAAAAAGACGAAGAAAGGTGTTGAAAAAGAGAATAAAAGAAAAGATAAAAAAATAGAAAACCCTGTAGTAAACTTTTAAAGAAAAATGTATCGACTTAATGAACGCCAATGGTCTGAGATGGAAAAGACGCTAGAGCCCCATTCGAAAGGTTCACAAGGCAAAGTGTATAAAGCAAAGTTATTACGGATGGACGTTGCAGTCAAACGGTATAATAACCCCGAGGAATTTGTGAAGGAGTTGATATGTTTGAACAACTGTACGTCCGAGTATATTGTTTCTGTGTGTGGAATGACTCCAACAGCAGACGCCATCTTTTTAGATTGGTATCCTTCAGACCTTGAAAATTACGTACTAACAAACTCCCCTCGTGTCCCTGAATCTGTTCAGTTAATGAAAGATCTATGTCATGCTGTACAATACGTCCATCGAGTCGGGTACATTCATTTAGATATTCGCCCCAAAAACGTGTTGGTCAAGATGGGACATTGCGTGTTGTGCGACTTTGGGTTGGCAATACGAGACCAAGAACCTTACGATCATACGAGAGGCGTGGACACTTGGGTGGCGCCCGAAATCGTGTTTGGAAGAGTCGTTTCGACTAAAACGGATGTCTACTCTTTGGGTCTCGTTATTTGGTTCACTTTGGAGTCGCAAGGAAGTGCCCCCTTTATAGCAACTACGACAGTCCCAATGATCAAAGCAGCGATGCAAACAAAGGAAAGACCAAGGTGGAATTTCTCAAACAAAGGCCCTTATCTCGACGTCTGTAAACAAATTGCTGACGTCACCAAAAAGTGTTGGGCCGAAGAACAAGAGAAGCGGCCAGCAGCTGCAGTGGTAGCTGCTAAATTTGACGATTGGGTAAAAGAGGTGAAGTAAAGTTTTATTTTATTAGTAAAATGATTAGTATCGTGGAAGTCGTTTCTTATATTTATTTATAATTAAACATAGAAAATAGAATTAATCAATCAACAAGATGGTCTTTGAGTTCTTTAAATAATGATTCTGCTTCAGTCAAGTCTTCCACAAAGAGGTCGCTTATCTTCTATATTTTTAATATATTATTAATATGTTATTAATAAATAGAATAGTAATAGAGTAGTATTATACTATAAAAAAATAATACTATAATATATAATAACAAACTGATGTGATGGTGGAAGGTGTTGGTTCTTTGTTACTTATTTGAGAAGATAATGTGGTTTTTATTTCTTGTATGATTGGATCCACATCTTGAGAAGGAAGCGTGGGGATTTCAACTTTCTCTTCGAAGTGTTTGTTATACACTTCTTCCATCTCTTTTTCTATGTTTTGTGATATCCATTCGGAATAATTGTCAATCGCCTGTGTGTCAATGTTTATTATTTATAATTCAATTTAAGTAATTTATAGCAGTTTTTTTGTGATTTTGATTGTATATCAACACACTTGCTCCACTTCACTCTTGTTATACTGAAGGCCTTTAAGTGTGGCTTCAAGGTCGTCAAGTTCGTAATCCATCATCGTCAAAGCTATTTCTTTCAGGTCTTTTTTAACACCCTCCATCGTTCCGTCCTTTTATATCTTTTTTATTATTTCTTTTTTTTTCTCTTTTTTTTATTTCTATAAATAAAGTTTTATAATAGTAAGTTATAAGAATTTATATTAATTTATATTAACAATAATACAAAACAAGTCTTAAATTTATGATAGATGCTTTTTTAAAAATTTAATCAATAATATAGAACTATTATAATGTTCAAGATTACTTCAAATACTTTTTTTGTGTGAACGTAAACGACAAAAAATCAAGCGTTGAAAGATTAAGTGTTTGTTTGAAGAGATTACAAAATGACAAAGAAAGATTCGTTTTTATTAACAACTAATAGTTGCTCGATAACTTTTTTCAAATATTCAAACGATTTTTAAAGTACTCTCTGAAAAGCAACAAACTGTGAAAACAAACAACAACTAAAAACCAACTATTCTTGATTTAGTTGAAAATTGACAATTTAAAGAAAAAAAATTATTATTATAATTATCATAATTGTTTTTAACTATTCAAAAGTTACAAAGAAAAAAATCAGATTTTTTTTTTATTTAGTAAAAAAATTTAATCAACTTAATCAAATTAATTAAATTTTAGAGAAGAATATATATAAGTATTTAATTAATATAATTAATTTAAAAATTTTATTTTTTTGGTTAAATTTAAAACAAAAACATTTATTTCAAAATTAATAATTAAAACCATAATAATAGTTTATGTATAAAACATTCTTTTGGATCGAGACTCCAAAATATGAATTATTTACAGCTTTAAAAAATAAGTAAAAAACCGAAAGCTGAAAGGCAAATTAAACTAATTTCTCGAAAAAAAGAGACCACAAAAAAATGAAAGCCATTTTGTGAAAGCTTCAATCTACAAAAAACAAAAAGAACCATAATTACTAAAATGCCTTTAATATAATTTAAAAAATAAACAAACATCTAACATTTTTACCAAAAAATAAAAAGAAATTTGATTTGAAGTCCTCAAAAAAATCGCACTGGAAGTGAGGATTATTCAAATCGTTTTTTTGAGTAACCTGTTTTTCCAAATTACAAATGATGTTTTGATTAAGAAAAAATCCGTTATAAAACTATAAATAATAATATTTTTTATAAAGTATAAAACCATTAAAAAGATAATTGGTCATGAGAACAAAAAAAAACACCAAGTGATTTATTAATTAAAAATGCCGCCTATAAAAAAAAACGAAAAATCATTTTTTAACTTTTTGAAGAACAAGACAAGACTCGAATAAAAAAAATACAAATTATAGTTTTATAAAACCAATATTTATTAATACATTTACTATTTGACATCTTTTTTGCTTGGCTATCTTATTTGAGATATGTTGTGTTTTCTGGAGGCTTCAAATGAGCTATCAATAACTATATAGGAACTATACTTACACACAATAAAATTTTTGCAATTGATCAGATAAAAACGACGAACTTTCAAATGCAAAATCGATGAAGAAAACGACCATTAGTTTTAACACTACTCGAAGTGTTCCAACTGTTT